TGCGCTCGGCGTAGGCCTTGGGGCAGGAGCCGCACCTGTGGGGGCGGAGCCCGGCGTGGCCCCGCAGGTGCTTCCGGAAGGCGCCGGCCTGGGCGAAGGCCTTGGGGCACTGCGGGCAGGTGAGCGGGCGCTGCCCGGGGGGCGGGGCCTCACCTGGGCGCTCACCTGAGGGTGGGAACTCACCTGGGGGCAGAGCCCCACCTGGGGGCGGGGCCTCACCTGGGCGCTCACCTGAGGGTGGGACCTCACCTATGGGTGGGGCCTCACCTGGGCGCTCACCTGGGGGCGGGGCCTCACCTGGGGGCGGGGCCTCACCTGGGGGTGGGACCTCATCTGGGGTCAGGCACTCACCTGAGCACTCACCTGGGGGCGGAGCCTCACCTGGGTGCTCACCTGGGGGCGGGGCCTCACCTGGGGTCAGGCACTCACCTGGGCGCTCACCTGAGGGTGGGACCTCACCTGGGGGCGGGGCCTCACCTGGGGGCAGAGCCTCACCTGGGGGTGGGACCTCACCTGAGCGCTCACCTGAGCGCTCACCTGGGGGCGGGGCCTCACCTGAGCGCTCACCTGAGTGGGGGACCTCACCTGGGGGTGGAGCCTCACCTGGGGGCGGGGCCTCACCTGGGGGCGTGGCCTCACCTGAGCGGGGGCGCTCACCTGAGTTTGAGTGGGCGGGGCCAGCGCCAGGTGAGGCCTGGGAGCCGCCAGGTGAGCGGTGGGCGGGGCCAGGGGCGGAAATGACGTCACCAGGTGAGCGGTGGGCGGGGCCAGGGGCGGAAATGACGTCACCAGGTGAGCGGTGGGCGGGGCCTGGGGCGGAAATGACGTCACCAGGTGCGCGGTGGGCGGGGCTTGAGGCGGAAGTGACGTCACCAGGTGCGCGGTGGGCGGGGCTTGAGGCGGAAGTGACGTCAGTGGGCATGGCTCCGCCTCCAGGTGCGCTCAGGGCGTGGCCGGCGCCTCCAGGTGCATCATGGGAAGTGCCTGGGGGGGGGGGAGGG